TTGTGTCCACATTGCTGCCAAACTCAGTAAAACTTAGCTTTTAATTTCAATATTTTAAAAAATCTTATTTGGCTCATTTTCAAATGTTTGCTATGTCACTTTTATAGTTTCCTTCCTTCAGGCATTTTCAAGCTTACTTTAATTTCTAAAATCAGAACAAGCACTGTTTTTTAGATAATCATTGTTTGACAATTCTAATATCTGAAAACTTTATAATCTGTTTTTGCTGTTATTTACTCTTTTTTAAGATTTATTTATTTATTTATCTTTAGAGGGAAGGGAAGGAGAGAGGGAGAGAAACATCAATGTATGGTTGCCTCTCGTGCGTCCCCTGCTGGGAACCGGCCTGCAACCCAGGCATGTGCCCTGACTGGGAATCCAACTGCGATCCTTTGCTTCGCAGGCCCGCGCTCAATCCACTGAGCTACCCCAGCCAGGCCCTGTTATTTACTCTTTATTCTTAGTCTTATTACTCTGTTTCCTCACATGTTTGATTATATTTTACTGTGTGCTAATCATCGACCTTGAAAAATTATTCCTGATCATTTCCTGGGGCTAAGAAAGAAGAGGCCTCCCTCCAGAGGGCGTCTGCGTTTGCCTCTATCATCTACCTTGGAGTATTATCTATTCCAGGACCGCTTTTCAATTAGGGACTCTTTGGATGACTCCACGAAGCAGATTTGGACTGAAACTCCATGTGAAAGTCTGTACCATGGTCAGACTATCTCAAAGGCAAGTTTGCTTTTTTCTTTTATCTTCTGCTTAGTAGCACCCAAAGGGTGAGGAAAAAGAAATAGGTTACTTTTTGATTATATTTACTGCAAGGGTGTAGCCTTTGAGGAGGGTGGCTCCAGCTAAATATGGGAAGAATTTAATTTAATCTCTCTACCATGGGCAAGACCATGCTTCCTCTGACCCCACAAACTTAAAATTTCATTTGATTTTTCTAAACTTAGCTTTGATTTCTCTCTCTTTATCTGAGAGGCTGTCAAAATCTTAATTTTGTCAGAATCTGGCCTCAGACAAAATGAGATTGCTGTGCTTTGCTTAGTTTTCTAAATGCTTGGTTTTTCTGAGCTTGTGGCTTAGAAATATCATTAACAACATTCAATAATTTCTCATTTTCAAAATAAACAATAAAATATTCTTATACAATCCAACAATTCCATGTCTGGGTATATATCCAAAAAATTAAAAGTGGGGAGTCATACAAGTATTTTTATTCTTAATAGCCAGAAAGTGAAAGCAATCTGAATGTTTGTCCAAGGATCGATGCTAAAACAAAATATGGTCTAAACACAAAATAGACTATTCAACCTTAAAAAGAAAGGGGATGTTAATACATGCCATAATATGCATTAACTTTGATGACATTATACTAAGTGAAGTCACAAAGCCAGTCACTATGTGATTTCACTTACACGAGGCACCTAGAGTAGTCATACTGATACAGAGATAAAGTAGAATGGGGGTTGCCAAAGACTGGAAATAAGGAACAATGGGAAGTTACTACTTTATGGGTGTTTCATTTCAGAAAGATGAAAAAATTTCTCTAGATGAATGATGGTCATTATTGTACAACACCATGAATGTACTTAATGCCATTAAACTTAAAAATGGTTAAAATGGTAAACTTTATGTTATGTACATTTTACCAAAAGTTTGAAAAATCTTACCCAAATGCTGAATTTTCTTACCTTCGCATTTACTTAAATACATAAAATGAATAGTGTTCATATAGTTAATAGGGACATCTTCAGAAAGTGCTTTGTGTCAAGCTTGAATACCATTAAACAGACTGAGCCATTACTCTTGAAGAGCTTTGAGTCTGAAAGACGTTTTCTTCACATATAATTATATGTAAAGAAAATAGTAACAACATATTGGAAAAATAGCAAGACACAACAAACAAAACTAGGCCTCAATTCGACATTACTCACAGGGTCAAAAGGCTCATAAATAGATAAATTACACATGATTCAACATAGATACCTTTAAATAAAGCTTTTTCATACTACTATATGACTGTATCTTCAATTCATTTTCAAAATCTATGGTAATAACCTCAAATGTGAATAAGGTAAAATAATTTGTTAAATTTGTAGATCTTTCACTACTATGCATTTATAACTAGTTTTACCAATATCAATTAAGTATTATTTAGGGGTTAAAAAAAACCCTTAGAAACCACATAATATCCTTCTCCAGGGATGGGCTGCTCATGCTACAATGAAAGGTGGTGGGTGGGAAATACAAAAAGAAGGAATAATGTTCTACTTGTTAATGCCTATCCAGATGTTTGCCTAACTCCTCCAACTCCATTTCCCACTCTTAACTTGGCTATAATCACTTTATAAACAACTACCTCTAACCTATCTTAATCTCTTCCATGACACCCTGAAGAATATATGTTTTCTCCTGTCATAAGGTCCCTTCATCATAACTTTGTGGTATGTAGTTCTATATTCTCCATCTCTAGCTCTTTCCCTTCCCTTTTAATAAAGTTACTTACATTTCTCCCATCTCAAAAAGAAAAACACCTTATTTGACCTTGTACATCTATCCTACTCTATAGTCTACAGTCAAGCAGCCATGGAAGTATAATCTAAATTCCTTCTCTCTACTTCATCTCCATCTTCATCCTTATTAACCAGCTCTTACTACTCTCTCCAGCATGCCACTACACACACTGCTCTCGCTAAGGTCTCAATTTACAACTGACTAACCAAGAGACATTTCTCAGCACCTTTCTCTGGCATCCGACACAACCACAGCATCTTCTCAAAATTTTCTGCTTTTCATTCAGTTTTCACTGTCCTATGTGAAACATATTCCAGTTTCAGTGTTCCTTGTTAAATAGATTTGTGTTTATGGTATATATTTTTTGGTGTATATTATCACAAATAGTAAAAAAGTTTTACAAAAACTTTAAGACCAGAAGTATATCCCAAATCTTTTATTTCATACAGCAGTTTGCTGGTTTACCTGGCAACAAAGGTTTAAAATTTGCTCACCTCCTCTTTGATGAAAAGTAGCTATATTTTATTTTCTAGCAAATGTTAGAGAATAAAACAATCTTTCCTTAAAGGGAAACATAATATTTTGATAACAAATATGAAAATAAATTTCTTCTGAAAAAATTTTTACATAATTTTGAATAAACGTTGATTGTGGCTAAACATAAATTACTAAGTAAAATTAGTAAGATTAATTAAATCACATATTAGCACATTTCAAAAAAGTAGAGAACTAATTTTTCTCTGTTTTTAAATCTTTTAAACAAAGGACTTCAGTAGGTTTTTAACCTGTTAAGAAACTTTCTAAGATAAACCTTCCAAATTGTTCATATGAACAATCACTTGACATTGGGAAAGATGGCAATTACTACCTGATTTTTAACAAGATCATTTTAACTATTAAACAAAACTGAGAAAGTATGATTTAATAAACACAGCCAATGTTACATTTCTTTCATTTGGATATATGTATCTTTATTAAGTATCTTTTTCAACTATGACAACTGTTAAAATATTCAAATAAGTGCACATAATTCTATTATGACTTTATGATATTTTAAATAATTACGTGGATCACCTAATAGAGTACAAGTAATTTAAAAGTAGTGACTTAGTCTTCTTTATCTTTGTATCCCTAGGACTTTAACTATATAGCACAAGGTAAATAGTTATGCAACAAATACTTTGTAAATGAATGACCAGTTATACAGGTGAGTATGTTAAAATGTACATGCATTCACACACATCCCTAAGTATATGTGTAATACCTGATTAAGTAAACAAAATATTATCTAAAATAGGTAGGCCCACATCACAATGCACATACATCAGTTTGATGGTATTTAATGGCTCGTCTTGTAATTATGACTTCTTAATTAGGATATGTTATTATAAATAAATATACTGCAGTTTTCTTATGTAACATGAGAATTTTTACTTTCAAAATGAATAATAAATGATACAAGGAATGAATATAAAGTCAACAAAAAATATAGCAAAACCAATTAAAAAAACTGTTTCCTTGACAAAACAATGAATGACCCAGTATATATAAAACTGTAAAAGTATTAAAAATTAGACTTTTAAAATAATAAGTTAGAACTAAAAATCAAATAATAGCATTTCTATGTTAAGACTTGCTCAATAAGAATGTGATAGCTACTTCACATACTTTTCATCATAATCTAAATATTCCTTTCAAACTATATTTAAAATTTTATTATAATCATGCAATCATTAATATAACAATTTCCCAACACTAAATTATACTTAGTCCTCTATAGTGGTTAAAGCAAAGACACCCACATTACAATATTATTGGAAAAATAGTAGATGAAGCCACAAAACTATATTCTATTAATATCTTTAATTATAATTTCATCTTTGAAAGGAAAAACTCAAAGAGAAAAGTAAGCAAAATAAAAGAATACAAATGCTATTCCCCAAAACAGTCAGGATTTTATATATTTATATATATGAGGTAACATAATAAATTGTTACTGTTATAGGAATTATATTAATTACATCTAGAAAAAAATTCACCTTATAAATGCTGAGACATAAAATGGCTGTGTAAAACTTAACTGAATTTTATGAATGATATTTATCAATCTTCTGTACCCAAACCATATCTAGAATCTTTTTTTCTTAAAATGCATTAGAAGGGCACTATGCAGCTTAAGAATATAAAATGTACCAAATGGAAGAAGTATTAAATAAAGAAGTAATCTGTAGCATATGATGTTGCTGTTTTTCTTTTTTTAGAAACATTATAAAACTTCCTGGAAAACTGTCTCCCTCGTTCTCAGGTCTATACCTACCTTAATTATATATGTTTGATATTATCTAAAAATATATCCATGGTCTACTGATAGTACTCTAATACTGCTTAAGAAAGAAAAAAGTTGTAATACTTAAAAAACAGAACAAAACAAAAATACAGGAAGGCAAATTTAGAAGCAAATCTATCCCATCGATACCTACCTCCTGGAAATGCCATTGGCCAGACATTTATGGCTACAGGATTTGGAGGAGAGGGGTGATGAAGTTGGGGACAAGTTGAGAGGGGCAATCAAACTGTTGATGATTTCAGTCAACTGTGCACTCTGCAAGAAAACAGTCAACTGCTAAGCAAGAAACGTGAGTTAAATTATCAGCCTTTTAGTGTCTATCAAATGCTTAATTTCTCATGAAACAAGTAAATGTTCGTATTTTAGTAAATACAGGTTTGAGCAAAAGTAGGTTTACAGAAGTGGGTATGTGAAACAGAGTTTATTTTTGTATTATTATTTATTAATAATTGTATTATTTTTGATACAAACTATTATAAAACCTACTTTGCCCACCCTTATACATGTATTTTAAACTATAGAAATGATTTAGACAGCTACTCATATTTCTATTTATTATATGTAAATTTACATTTTAAAGTACTACTCCTTTTTCATATCCTTTTTTGTTACAGTTCCTTTATCTACCAATCCTATCCTCTAAAACATTTGAAGCCAGCTAACAGCATCTAATAATACTTCCTTTGAGGCAGCAAAATTAATAATAACAAAAATCATAGCTGTAATTTACTAAGTGTGTACTATGTGCCAGGCACTATATTAGGCACTAGAATATTTCTGATTGTTACAACCTGCAAAGTATATAATATTAGAACTTCTGATAATAGAATATATAAGGTTAATTACAGATGAGAAAATTGAAACAAAGAAAGATTAAGTCATTTGACCAAGGATTAGAAAGTTGGTAAGAAATGGAGCTCTGATTCAAATTCAGGCTGGAATTTCATGCTACTTTGTTTCTTACTATTTTTTTCTGATTCAGAATTATCTGTTTTGTTTTTTTTAGGTATCCAAAATTTCCCTTTATCCTAAGCTTAAATATATGTAATATGTTTGTAATGTGCAATGAATATTATTCTCAAAACAACCATCTAAAATAACTGCAATAAACAGAGCACATCAATGAAAACAGTACCAAAAGAATGACAACTATTAATTACATATATAGTTCCTTATTTAAAAAAGGAAAGTGTAGAGATATTTAAAAACTCAAAAAAATATCACCTGTAATCACACTTCATAGAGAAAACCATTGCTAACATTTTGGCACATATCCATATCTCTACAGTAAGTGTTTGAGCATATGTGAGCATTAGTGTATATACAACGTGTGCGTGCACACACATACCCTCCCTTTGAGTTAAATCAAAGGGACACATCAATTTCCTAAAACCTGGTTTTCTCACTCCATATTGTGTGACTACATTTTAAAAAATCCATAGACCTATTTCACCATTTTATTAAATGTAAGATATTCTATTAAAAAAATAGGGGGGTAAATGGAAAAATTATTTTTAAACTTTTTGTATGAAACTAATGACATGCTATTAGAAATAATGAGGCTCAAGATACTAAATCTAAAATTTGAATTCTTCAAAAAATATTTTTTGAAAAATGCCCTGAAATGTTTTCACCATTTATTTTCTTGAAAAATAATGCATACCTAATGGCTTTATATTTAAATTACTCATTTTTAGATTGAAGCTCATCTTCAAAATTAACGATATACATCAATTCTTTATTCAGTTATCAAGCATTTATTGGTTTATTCATGCAAAGAAATGTACAGAGTATCTATTTTCCAGTTTAAAACACTGACATACTCTTTTCTTTTCTGCCTCCAAAAATATCATCCAAAATATTGTAAGCCACTGGAGGTCGCTGGTCAGATATGTCTGAACAACTGGCCCAGAAGGACGGCATTACAACCAACCCTTACTTGGACTTACCCTAACAACCACCCCACATCAGCCCAATAAAATCTCATGTGCTTGAGACCATATTTGGGATAGGAAAAATTTATTAGGAACTTACTCAACTTTCTATTTGCATGATCATTTATTTGTACAAATATTAGGAAAAAATGTATATTGTATCACTCTACATGATCACGTTTATGAAAGCACCCATATTTCAATATTATCTTTCACTAAAAATCTGTCAACAAATTATTCAAATAATCATTGATCATTCATATTTATTAGGTGGAAGCACTGTTCCTTCCCTGTGAAAAAAGTCCAGTGATAAGTGATTTTGTTTGAAAAAAAGATTCTTCCACCCTAGTATAAATGAGTTATCATCCTATGGCTATGTACTAATTAATACCTTATATATTATATTTAAATAATCTTAATTACATCAATAATATAATAGATACCAGTCATATACTAAGTATTTTAATTGTATTTAATGTCAGATCGCCAACTTAAGCTCATTACCTGTTTCTCTATGTTGCGAAGAAGCAGGGTAGGGCTACTTGGTGACATTTCAAAATCCTGTTCTGGTAAAAGGTCTTGACTCTCTTGGGGAATCTGAGAGTTCCTTGCAATAGTTAATGAAGTTGCTTGGTCTGCAAATTGTATCTGTTTTTTCAAAGTGTCTTTTGGAAGTTGACATTCTTCTAGGATCACTATCCCCTAGGCAAACAGCAATTAAAGAGTTGAAATCAAAACAAATTAACTGCTAAATTAACCTTAATGTTATAATGCACTTGAAACCATGCTTCTTATTCCCCTTGGACATCAGAAAATACACACTTAAAAGTAGTTTTAAAAATTGGCAGATTTAAAACATGTGCAGCTAAAATAACACGTATGCCTGATGGATTGAGCCTGTAAAGTACTGTTATAAATTATATACATACAGTTATTTGTCTTCCTTGTTTTAATTACTAGCATTAAAAGGATGGCACATTTAGAATAAAGATAAAGGCTTATATGCAGAATATGAACATTTCGGACTGAAATTTAGAACGCTTCCTGATTTAATCTTATGATACTTTGGTTCCTAGCCTCTCCATTTGAGTTTTATATTTGAGCACTCCCATTTTCATAATTAAAATACCACATTTATAAACATCCAACAACAGTCCAACACTACATTAACTCCTTTTAGGGCCCTTGTGGACAGGCCTGAAGCCTGCTGCTGTCAGTCAGTAACTGTGGCCAGGAATGCACGATTGAGAAAAAGGACTCTTATGGCCCAAATTCTTGTTTCGGGTAGATGAGCTCATCATAAAGACACAAGTTGTTGACTTTGATGAGGCATTTTCTGAAATGTAAGTAATCAGAGGAGTAAGTGGGGATCTAGTTTCCTCTCCATTCTCAGCCACACATACCCCGTATTTTTCAGACCATAAGATAAACCCCCTTTCTTCCCAAATTTGGGGGAAAGGTGTGTCTTACAGTCCAAAAAATATGGTGCTTTCCCTTCAAATGGCTAAACTTTCTCCCACATTTCCCAGCTGGTTCACTCCACCAGCTTTCGCCCCTAGGCTTCTCAGAGGCAATGGAAACAGGAGAGAAAGGGGGAAAGGAGTGTGCAGATATGATCTTAGTGATTTTACAGTTAGTTCTCACCCCAAAACTTCTTCCCTTTCTACCCTTTTTTAGCCCCTGTGAGGAATAATACATGGTATTATATATATATAACATGTAGTAGATGTGGATTTTTGCAAAATGCCAAAAAGCCTCTACAGGCTACTTGAAAAGGTATTAAATGCCTCATGTGGCTAAAATATTATATTCTTGAAATGAAAAACAGACTAACACATTAATGTAAGTGTCAATATTTCAAAATGGAACAAATTAAGTGACTGCTGTGGGTCAGCTTACATCAAGTATGAGTGCCACTTATAGGATGAAAACTGCCTATGGAGTATATAATATGCTATATTTGAGTAGTTTAATTTATACTACAGTGGCTGTAAAACTGTACAATGAACACAGTCAGTTATGTTGTTAAACATTTTATGATTTTGTAGTAATAAATACCTTGATGCTTGGTAAAAGTAACAGATAAATTCTTATTTTTATTTATTTATAAAGATATTTTATTGATTATGCTACTACACTTGTCCCATTTCCCTCATTTATTTCCCTCTACCCTGCACACCCCCTCTCACCTGCATCCCCCCCTTTATTCATATCTACGGGCCCTACATATAAGTTCTTTGGCTTCTACATTTGCTATACTATTCTTAACCTCCCCGTCTATTTTCTACCTACCATCTATGCTACTTATCCTCTGTACCTTTTCCCCCTCTCTCCATGACACTCCCCTATTGCTAACCCTCCATGTGATCTCCATGATTCTGTTCCTGTTCTAGTTGTTTGATTAATTTTTTGTTTTTGGTTTTGTTTTTTAGGTTCAGTTGTTAATAACTGTGAGTTTGTTGTCATTTTACTGTTCATATTTTTTACCTTCTTTTCCTTAGATAAGTCCCTTTAACATTTCATATAGTAAGGGCTGGATAATGATGAACTAATTTAATTTGACCTTATCTAGGAAGTGTTTTATCTGCCCTTCCATTCTAAATTATTGCTTTGCTGGATAGAGTAATCTTGGATGTAGGTCCTTGCCTTTCATGACTTCAAATACTTCTTTTCAGCCCCTTCTGGCCTGCAAGGTTTCTTTTGAGAAATCAGCTGACAGTTTTTACAGGAACTTCTTTGTAGGTTACTCTCTCCTTTCCTCTTGCTGCTTTTAAGATTCTCTCCTTCATTTTTATCTTGAATAATGTAATTATGATGTGCCTTTGTGTGTGCTTCCTTGGATCCAACTTCTTTGGGACTCTCTGAGCTTCCTGAACTTCCTGGAAGTTTATTTCCTTTGCCAGATTGGGCAAGTTCTCCTTTGTTATTTGTTCAAATAACTTTTCAATTTCTTGGTCTTGTTCTTCTCTTTCTGGCACCCCTATGATTCGGATGTTGGAACATTTAAAGTTGCCCTGGAGGTTCCTAAGCCTCTCATTTTCTTAAATTCTTTTTTCTTCATTCTGTTCTGGCTGAATTTCTTCCTTCTGCTCCAAACCGTTATCACTGTTGCTTCCCTGTACATTTTCCTTTATTTCACTTTTCACAGCCTTCATTTTTTCCTCTAATTTGCTACCATATTTGAGCAATTCTGTGAGCATCCTGATTACCAGTGTTTTGAACTGTGCATCTGATAGGTTGGCTATTTGTTGCTTAGTTGTATTTTTTCTGGAGCTTTGATCAGTTCTTTCATTTGGGCCATTTTTTTGTCTTGATGTATCAGTTACATAGTGAGGGGCAGAGCCTTAGGTGTTCACCAGGGCAGGGTAACCATGAGCTGCCTTGTGAAGCTGTATGTGGGGGAGGGGGCCCAGAGGGAAAAATGGTGCTTGCTTCACTCTCTGCTGGATTTCGGTCACTTTCCCTGCTACCCACAAGCAAAGTGGGCCTTTCTGGTGCTGATTCCGAGGTGGGTGGGCTTGTGTACATTCTAGGACCCTGTGGGTCTGCCCAACGAACTCTCCTGTGAGGCTGTGAGTTTCTCCCACTGCTGCCTCAACCCCCCACAGGTGTTTACAGTGAGTGGTTTGAAGCTTTATTTCCCCCCGCTGGGACCCTGGGTTGCTCGTTCTGTCTTGCTCCCCAGCTGTTCCTCCCCATTTATCTGCACTTAAATGTGGGACTGCCGGCTCTGCCAACTGCTATCTTGCCATCCGCCAGCTACCAGCTCATCCATCCAGGCCCTCAGGCCTCCACCTTGCTGCAAGTGCTCTCTGCCCAGCTGCCCATCTCCACACCTCCTGCTGGTCTGGGTGAGCGTTTCTTCTTTAACTCCCTGGTTGTTGGACTTCCATACAGTTTGATTTTCTGGCATTTCTGGTTGTTTTTTGTTTTTAAATTTATCCTTCTTTTGGTTGTAAGAGGAAGCACAGTGTGTCTACCTACACCTCCATTTTGGCCAGAAGTCACAAAAAAATCTAATTCTTATTTTTATCTATATTTACAACAATGCAAGTGACTTTAAAAAGGGGATCCAATTTTTAATCCCATCTTAATGACTATTTTCCTAATATACACAAATGTGTGCATACTGTCAAGAAATCTAAAAATATATAATTAAATGAAGTTTTATTTGATATTTAAAAAATTAAATTAGACTTGATAAAGACTGCATCATTTGTCCATTCAAATTTGTACAAGTCTCTTACTAAGTTTTTTGCAAAGTGCCTCATGCGAAAGGAATATAAGTTTTTGCCATATCAATTTAACTGTAATTCACTTTGGTTTGATTACTTTATATTATGCACCAGGCTCTGTGAATTAGCCTGATTTCATAATCCCTATTTATAATATTATTTCTATGGAAAAACTGATTCAGAAGTTCAAAAACCCAATTTATAAACTGTTAGAATACTACACTACCTTTTTTATAAGTAGGGGGCCTGATACAGTTAGATCAGTGAAGAATGGTATTTTTTAAATTTAACTGGGGAGAGACTCATAGCCAAGTTCATAATGTATGTTTTCCCTTAAACTGCTGCCCTGGATGAAACTCTCACAGTGTGAGAAGAACAGACCATGACTTTTCTCTGTCGTGGCTGAGAAGTGAGAACAGGAAAGAGGAGCATCTGCTAGAGACACTGCAGAGATAGTTTCTGTTCTTAAAAACCAGAGAAAGAACATGTGTGTTGGGTCATCACCATGTACACTTCAAATATCTTTTAATTTTGTTTGTGAACTATACTTCAATAAAACGGAATTTTAAAAAATCAGGAATAGTCTAGTGATAGATAAAACAAGTCAAATAACAAAGATATGAAAACTCTTTAGAATTATGAATTAACTGAGACAAGTGAAAACTCTAGCATGAGAAGAAAGCAAATCAACTGCCCCAGAGGAAACAACTGTTTCTGATAATAACACTAGAGAGGTCCCCACCCCAACTCCCAGGGTCCTAGAGGAGTCATAGTGCGAAAAAAGAAACAAGTGTCTTAGCAACATCTGCAGTATTTATATAAAGTCACCAAAACTAATTTTAAGCAAAAAACTTAAATGAAAATTTTCAAACACAAGAAATGTACAATTTAAAATGTGGAAGACCCTAATACAGGATAACAAACAAAAATGTAATAGAAAAACCATAGCTAGCCTGTGAATCAAGAATATTTTAAAAATGTTTGTAAATGTGAGAAGAAGCTGTTGTCTTACTGAATAGCTGGAGTAGAGAAAAGGAGAAATATGAAGTTGTAATGTGTTACAAAGCTGTTACAAGAAACAAAGAAGAGATGTTAATATCTGCTCTCCTCTTTCTAAAAATTAAAAAAAAATTAGGCCATCTGGAGTGTGTCAAATAGAGGGCAAATGACAGCTTAAAGACTTGAAACTACTAGTAAATCTACTATGTGTATTTCCTGACCAGTCACAAACTGGCACTTAATTAAACAGAATATTTATAAAAGAGTATCTATCAATCTCTTGCCCTTCCCCTTATCTCTGATTTAACCTAGAAGAAAAAATGTTTTTTCAGAAACATTTAAGATATATTAAACAGAAAGTTTCTGTCTCACTCAAAATAACCACTACTCTCAATGTTTTTTCTTACAATAACCCAAGAAGCTATAAGAGCAAAGAAAGCACTTATCTTCCTATTAAGTATAACAGCAGCTCAACTAAATGGCAGACAGATAAGCAATTAAATATCTTAATTCCTGAGAAATGTAAGGAGAAAGTATCAAAAGAAAGAAATATTGTATTTTGAGAGCACAGTTTTAATGACATTTCCATAAAACAAATATAATGTCCTAAAGGGAACAAATGGCCAGATATACATCTAGCCTAAACCTAAAGATAAATGTAAAGCCATATAAATTTTTATTTACTGATTAATTTTAGAGAGAGAGAAAGATAGAGTGGAAGGGAGGGACGGAGGAAGGGGGAGGGAGAGAGGAAGGGAGAGAAAGAGAGAGAGAAACATTGATTATTGTTTCACTTATTATGCATTCATTGGTTGAATTTTTTATATATGCCCTGACCGGGGATCAAACCACACCACACCCTTGGCGTATCAAGATGATACTCTAATCAACTTAGGTACTGGCCAGGGCAGGTCATATAAATTATTACTAGGCAGTTTACATTTTTTTCCTTAAAATAATTATTTAACAGATATAAACATATCTTCAAACTTTAAAAAATGTTTAACAATTATATAGCGCTGCATAGAACAAACAGAATATTAAATATCTTTTCCCAAGTCAAAGCAGTATGAACTAGACTGTCTAGATTCAAACATAAAACTTAGTCATCAATTTAACTGGAAACATACTTTCTAGGAAATTTGCAAGTTGTTTTAAACTTGAGTCATTCTTAAAACTCTTTTTACTATAAAAGTGTTTGGGATGTATCCTTTCAAGATGGTGATCAAAGAACAGATATTTGGTGATCTTCAAAGGACTGGGAAATCACTACACTGAAGGCCTCAGTAGAGACACAATTACAAATGAGAAACAGTTGCTATAGTAATTAAATGAGAAACGTCATCAGGAAACTATTCTTGAACACAGTTCTTTCAAATCCAACAGATAGCACCAGTAAGCCCAAAGTCTTATTTCTGTCCTTCCACCCACCTTCCTACAGAAGTCACCACCAAATTCTACAATGCACTACATGGTATTTCATTACTGTCTTCCTTCCTCTCCTGTCCTTGCACAGTTCATACTTTCTGCTCCAAGCTATACTACTATGTTAAGTCCTAAAAAAAAAGCCCATGTTGTTTTTTGCCTTCAAACCTTTAAGAAATGCCCTTTTCTATTTTCTAGTTCCACTGATACATTGAGCAAAGTATTATTTATCCTCCAAAGTCATACTGAAGCATCAACTCTTTACTGATGTTTTCTCTGACCTGCTAACCTCTAAAATAAGAGTTAGGTATTCTCTCTATGCCACTTCTGTATGTTATTAAAAACATGTTACCACTCTACATATTAGATTACACTGCAACTATCTATCTGCGTGGTCTATCTCTCCTACCAGAAAATAAACTCATGATAAAGCTTAAACACTATTAATCTTATTTATGTGCAGACAGTAGGTAGGGTTGGGCTAACCATGTGGTTCAAAATCTTTCCTTCACAGCTTTTTCTTTTCAGACTAATCACAGTTAAACTTCCAGTATTATCTCCATTGCAATATTTTCTCCACATTTTTACCATGTAGAATAGTTCCCCACAAAAACAAATTATAAAGAGATATTTAGCGATATTTAGATCCGTAGGATTGCAAAAGAACTCTTTATGTTACTGCTTCTATGGGAAAATATACCACGTTCCAAGCAAACAACCTATAAGTTTTGGGAAACGGTATATCTGCAAGCTAAGGAAATCCCATGTCAAATTTCCCATGGTTGGAATTAAACCTGTATTTATTTGTGTAATCATTTGCCTAATTTTTACATCCAAAAGACTATAAACCATACAACATGAGAGACTTGTAGTATTTACAATTGACCAAGAATAGTATCTGAATTCATTCACAAACACACACCACCACCACCGCCCAAAAACAGTAAAAAGGATGTTAGTCTTAGACCAAAAAAGAATAATTACACTGAGGCCCAATCTCACAACATTCAGTAACAAAACAACAATAAAGTAATATTTTATACCCATTACACTGGAAAAATCAAGAGGCCAAAAATTATATAAGTTGGCAAAAATGTGGAGAAAACAGGAGCTGGCCAGTGGGAACACTGACTATCCAACCACATCAGTGAGTACAGGAAAGCTGAGGACAGTCACGCCTGAGATCCAGCAGTCTGCTTCCACTGTTAGGCACACAGCCAAGATAAGCTCTCCACAGGCTCACAAAAAAACTTAAAAGATAGTCATTGCAGTATTGTTTTTACTAGTGTAAAAATGGAAACACTACCTATCAAAAGAAAATAAGAGGTAAACGATCCATTGTATTCATAAGATTCCACTCACATAATTAAATACCATACAGGAGATATAAAAATGCATAAATAGTATGCTGAGCAAAAGGAAGCAAGTGCAAAGGAGTCTGTAGTATAATTTATATAAACTGTCAGAAACAGGGAAAATAAATATCATTTGTAGAAATATATACATACCTACCTGCCAATAATATAAAAACGTATATACTGAAACCTGTGTAATTTTATTAACTAATATCACCTAATTAAATTTAATAAAATAAAAAAATACATAATATCAAAAAATGCTGGAATCAGAATAGTGGTTACAATGGCATGGGGAAAGAGAATGGGATCAGGTAGGGCTATATACAGACTTCAGTTGTATAGGCACTGCTTTATTATTCTAGAAACTAAACCCATACTAGCAAAAATGTAATATATGATGAACTCGAGGGTGGGTATACAAGCATTCATCATATTGCTTTCTGCAACTTTTTATGTTTTAAAACAAAAAAATCTAAGGAAATATCAATAAGATACACAGTCAATATTTCTTACATATAATAAAATAAATGCCAACAAAGTAGAGGTTTACAAAAAACATATATCATTTCTATTGAGTGAAATCCAACAAAGTTTTGAATTGCTTCAGTATGATAAAATTATCACAATATATGTACAAAGGCATTACAATGACAGCTTTGATTTACAGCAATTAATATATCAAAAATCTTAATATTCACTACATTTTTGCAAAACCTGTAACAGTTATTTTGCATGGAGACATGAGGAGAAACTCAAACAGTAATATTTTTTTAAAGAACAGAAGAACACAGAAAATACCTTGGAGGCACGAATCTGTCTATGGACATCCGTTAGTTGTTGGATTTTGTATTCTAGCTCTGAAATCTGGGCTTGAAGCCACGTCCACCGGCTGCCAACTCTTGCTCTGTCTACAAGCCACTTCCATTCAGTACTACAGTTACTGTGAACAAATCGTACATTGTTAGTCAAAGCGCAAAGGCAATCAAGTTCTCACAGAGGCTGCTTAGTAACTTCCTTGACTCCTGTCATACAATCCTAATTTCCTTCCCAAACATCTAATTACATGAACTCAGGATGGCATATCAATTTCTTATCAAAGAAAAAGACATAATTTTCTTATCTTTCTATTTCACAAACACTTGTTTTTATTCAGTAGTACTAACCAACAGTAGGATAATCTCCTTTGCTACTTAATATGTTATTAATGCTGAAGGGTTGAAATAGAAGTGGGCCAGCAAAGAAAAGGAAACAAGAATGATGATACTAACACCATGTAAAAACTGTCACATGAGGCTTTTCTATGAAACCAGATGTTGCGTGCAAAAACAGTCATGTATCAGAAGTCATTCAAACTGTGCTAGATTTAAATCTATGTAAAAAATCTTAGCTATTCAACCATACTCTATGTAAGTTTTGTTAAAACAAATCACTATTACCTCATCAAATATTTAAAAATCAATTTAAAGAAAATGTCAAAAATTATTAATAATGAATACTCTGCTACATTTCAAATAAGCATATCAAATATATAAACTTTGACATATTTATTAAAATCAATAGCTTGTTAAAAAGCTGTTTCCCAGCATTCACAGGGCAGATATGACCAAGAATTTATATAAAGCCTATTTTTCATGCATATTTGAAAATAAGGGTTGAGCCCTAGACCATCTATATTTGGTGAGGGTGCTATTCTAATACATTTTTAAAGATTACAAATTAATTACTCTATGAAAATACTCTAACCATTTCAGCTAGAAAACAGTTATTTGGGAATGTGTGTGTTTGTGTGCATGAAAATTAATTGGGAGCTTCAGATTAAAGGAAAAAACATGACAGATTGAAGGTATAACTGAAAGACAATAACTACTTAAATGGCAAAACACAAACTTCATGAGAAACTTGTTTAAAACAGCATTTATTGTCAAAAGCCATAGAATGTACAAGCTCAAGAGTGAACTCTAATGTAAATTATAAACTTGGGGCGATAAAGAGGTATCAGTGTAGGTTCATAGATGGTAAGAAATGCACTACTTGGTATAGTATGTTATTAGTGGGGGAGGTTACATTTGTGTAGGTACAGGGGGTATGTGGGAACTCTCGGTATTTTCCACTCAATTTTGCTGTAAGCATAAAACTGCTGTAAAAAAACAAGTTTAGTAATTTTTTAAAAACACATTGAATCATAATGGAAAGGCCTTCACATATACTTTAGTCATAGGAAATACTGTAAGAGATCATTTACTGTCAGGAAACCATACAATCGTAACTTTACTGTACATAACTTACCCATTATAATAGAATTTTATAATATTATCAATGTTCCCCCAAACTTATTTTAAAAAGATTATAATTCCATACAATGTAATTAAAAAGACCTTCATAAATTAGGACTGCTCTTGGCATTATTATTCAGTTTATAGTCATCATTGTGATTTTACAAATTTGAACTCATAAATCATATTTTTATAACTATGGGCAAAATAAGAGAATGCCTATTCAAAATACCTATTCATAGATCATATTTAACAAACTAATTAAAAATCACGAGACTGATAGGAAGGCAAAGGCCAATTTTGCAGTAGTTGCATAAGTGAGGATAAAGTGTTGGATTTTATGCAAAAAGGAAGTTATTACCAAGATCATAACAAGAACGATTTTTTCCAAGCACTCTGGCTACTATAGAAAGCATTCAAGTGGGACATGAGAGGAAATAAGGAAACCTATTAGGATACAGCTTTAATAACCTGGATTAATAACCTGGATATGACACAGATAGTGATCTCCAAATATTTCATGTGCTGTTCTCCACTTCCTAGCCTTCCTTGCAGGAAGATTGGAACCATGTGACTAGTTCTGACCAATAGAATGTATGTAAAAGTGAACTAGTCATTTCTAGTCCATTTGACCACCTTCAAAGCCACTAGTGCAGATAGTATAGTTACAAGATGGAGGAAGATCACAGACCAAACCATAATGGACTTTATGTAAGCCACATGAACCTTTGAGGTATTAAACTACCAAGAATAGGAGGTTACTTTGTTACTTTAAATATAGTCTGTTCTGACTAGAACACTGAGTAAAAGATGAAAATAGCTTGGGCTGGGGAAGGTGTGGAAGTTGAAGAGGATGAATTCAAGGTTCATTTTAAAGGTGATAGGACTTATAGAAGTATGGTGTGGTAGAAAGCATGGGGAAATTAAAGATGATCTTTGATGTTCTTTCAGTAAATTTTGCTCCAGTTGGAAAATTTCCCTACAACATGAAATTTTGCTTGGCTATCAAACTGATGATTAGCTAATGATAAAATACAATGAAGAAAAAATTTTACATGGAGTTCACATTATTGTACTTCTAGTAAAAATATTCTGATATTCAAATTAAATTTAGAAAAATCATTTTTATGTTTATAAACTATATAAAATTACTCTAAAATAGAAAAATAGCAATATCAAGAAGCATAAAAGAGTAAAAATAGTCTCTTCAACAAATGGTATTGGGAAATCTGGACAGCTACATGTAAAAAAATGAAACTTGATCACCAATTTATACTATATACAAAAATAAACTCAAGATGGATAAAATACTTAAATACAATTTGAGACACCATAAAAGCTCTAGAGGAGAACATAGGCAGGAAAATTTCAGCTATTCCATGCAGCAATATTTTCACCAATATATCACCTAGAGCAAGGGACATGAAGGAAAGAATAAGGAAATGGGACTTTATCAAAATAAAAAGCTTCTGCATATCTAAAGAAAACATCAGCGAGATGAAAAGAGAACCAACCATATGGGAAAATGTATTTGCAAATGATATCTCAGACCAGGGTTTGATCTCCAAACTATATAAAGTCACATGACTCCACTTCCAGGAAGACAAACAATCCAATTAAAAAATGGGCAAAGGACCTGGACAGACAATTCTCCAAGGAGGACATACAGAGGGCCGAGAGACATATGAAAGGATGCTCAGCATCACTAGCCATCACTACCTCACACCAGTCAGAATGGCCATCATAAACAAATCAACAAACAAGTGCTGGTGGGTTGTGGAGAGAAGGAAACCCTAGTGTATTGTTGGTGGGATGCATACTGGTACAGCCACTGTGGAAAACAGTATGGAATTTCCTCAAAAAACTAAAAATGGAACTGCCTTTTGACCCAGCAATTCCACTGCTGGGATTATACCTTAAGAATACTGAAACATCAATCCAAAAGAACCTATGCACCCCAATGTTCATAGCACCACAATTTACAATAGCCAAGTGCTAGAAGCAACCTAGGTGCCCATCAGTAAATGAGTGAATCATAAAATATGATACATTTACACAATGGAATACTATGCAACAGAAAGAAAGAAGGAGCTCCTACCCTTCACAAGAGCATGGATAGAACTGGTGAGCATTATGCTAAGTGAAATAAGCCAGACAGTGAAAGACAAATATGATATGATCTCTCCTATAAGTGGAGCCTAATCAACAAAACAAACCAGCAAGCAAAATATAACCAGAGACATTGAAATAACAAACTGACAGTAACCAGAGGGGATTTGGGGGTAAATAACAGGGGAGAGAAGGAAAAAGGGCCATCAGGGAACATATAATGGACCCATGGACAAAGCCAAAGTGGGGTAAGATTGAGGGTGGGAGGTGTTGGGTGGGGCGAGAGAAAGTGGTGGTGGGAAAATGGAAACAACTGTATTCGAACAATAATAAAAATGATTAAAAATAATAATATAATAAATTTAAGTAAACTAAATAATGCTGGGGCTTTGTGGTACATGAAAAAAATTGTCTGTGAAGGATACATTATCCTACATTTTAATAGGAGTGAAAAACACATGTGGTATAATTAAAAGTGGTAAATAGGCTTTTCCAACAAAAATGCTCCCTTGGTTGAAAACCTGTTTTTCTCAAAAATAATTAACACTGCAAATAAGTTACAGATAAGTATATGGTTATCTCACACAAAAGGAGATTAACACCTGTTGTACCCCTAAGTCAAAACAGGTTTTATGTAAACAACTTATACAACCAATGATGTAATAACTTAGATCATAACCAATGAGAACGGATGATGCACCGACAAACAAGAGTATGAGGCATACCTAGTGTCTAGACTTCCCAATTAGCATGAAAGAGTGGCCCACTAGACCACTAACATTTACTCCCTGCAGCTCTCTGGTGTGTTGAACTGGTCACAGACCACCACAGGCAGACCGTAAAGAGGGGCTGCTCCTTCAGTGAAAACATTTGCGAGTGGAGACCACCTGGGCAGTGAGACTAGTCAGTCCCCAGAATAGCTGCATATGCCTTCAAGCCCCATCCTTGCTTATTTGCAGTCATCACTGAACTTGCTCAAGAAAATTAAATACAAACTGTTTAAACCAAGTTGTTTTAAGTACAGTTTCTCTTGGTACTGACTTATCAATATCATGACGCTACATCTCTGTTTTGACCTTGAAGTATAGTTCCTCAGAGTAAGTCAGTACTTTCCAATGTTACATCTTAAATTAGCAAGACCTAAAAACGGTCTCGTATAAATTAAAATTTTCCTTTAACATGAAGAATTTTTTAACTCACTAACAACAATGAATTAACTACAACAAAAAATTAAAAAAGGTGGCCCTGGCTGGGTCAGTGGTTAGAGTGTTGTCTCGATGTCCCAAGGTTGCAGGTTCGATTCCTGGTCAGGGCACATATGAGAAGTAACCATTAAATACATAAATAAGTGGAACAACAAATTGATGTTTTTCTCTCTCTAAAATCAATAAAAAGAAAAAAGGAAGACCCAGGTGTGGAAAATAACTCTCTCTCCCAAATAAGGATTGTCTTGGGAAAAATACATTAAATCATGCCAAACTTCTCCACTGGTGTTTGCTCACCTAGAAAGAGCTTATCCTTTAGACCAGAGGTTGGTAAACTTTTCCTGTAGAGAGTCTGATAGTAAATATTCAGGGCTTTGTGGGCCACACGGAGTCTTTAACAACTACTCAACTCTGCTATTATAGCATGAGAACAGCCAGAGATGGTACATAAATGAATGGGTGTGACTGTATTCCGATAAAACTTTGTTTACAGAAACAGTCAATGGGCCCAATTTGGTCCATGGTCTGTAGCTCTCCAATCCCTCACGTAGGGCATGTTTTCATATGCTTCTTGTGTCTCCCAGGGGATTGTGACTTCTTGACAAAGTGTCTGTTCAAGTCATTGGCTCACAGTTCATTGTTACTATCTTCTTACTTGTACAAGACCTGTGTCAGACTACATGTATTGGACATACATATAGCTCCCAGTCTGCAGTTTGCCTTTAATTTTCCTAATGGTGTCTTTCAAAGAGCAAGATTCTGATTTTGAAAAGTTCAATTTATCAGATCTTCCTTTTATGGATAGTTCATTTTATGTCCTAAGAAATCTCTGCTGAACATAAAGACATAAAGATTTAATCTTTATGACTTTTAATCATGTTTCTAAAATTTCAGAGTTTTAGCTTTTAGATCTATAATTCAATTTATTTCTGTGTATGGTATGAACTTAGGGTCCAAATAATTTCTTTCTGTATGAAAAATTTAATTCCTGAACCATTTGTAGAAGATTCTCTTATTCTTTAATAGAAAAAGAACTATCTTTGAATAGAGAAAAGACTGTCTATGAACAGTATTTGTTGTATGCACAACACACACACCCCCTTAGCATATTTATCTCAACACCTTAACTCAATACCACACTATTACTGTAGTTTAGAGTAATTCTTAAAACCCAGTAGTGTAAATTTCCCAACTTTGTTCTTTATCAATAGTTTTGACCATTCTAAACTTGAGAATCAGCTTGTCAATCTCTACAGAAAAAAAGAAAAATAAACACCTAGTAATGGTCCTTAATATCTCCTATATATATTATGGTCAACTGCAAATACAGTGTTATTCATTTGTAATCTGGATGCCTTTTATTATTTTTCTTACCTTGCTTGACTGGCTAGGAATTACACTGCAATGTTAATTTAAGTCACGCGGGTGGACATCCTGACGTTCTCCCTGATCTTACAGAGAAAGCATTCCATTTCTCACCATTAAATGTAATGCTACCTGTATACCTTTTGTAAGTGTTCTGGTCAGATTTAAGAAGTTTCTATTACAGGTTTGTTGTAAGTTTCTATCACGAATGGGTTTAAATTTTGTCAAAGTATTTTTGATTCCATGGACATAGTGTTGTTTCTTTTTTAATTGAGTTTTGAATATTAAATTGACTTTGCTTCTTGGTATGAACCACTTTGGTCATGATGTATTATCTTTTTAGTATTTTGTTTGACTCTACTTGGCACTTCATTAGGGATATTTTGCATTTACAATAAAAAATATTAATCTGCTTCTTTCTTATAATGCCTGTGTCTGGTTTTAGAATCAAGCTAATACTTGCCTTATAAAATGAGTTAAGAGGTGTTCTCTCCTGTATTTGTTCTCTCCTGTAACTTTTGAAAAAGTTTGTGTTGGATCAGAATTGTTTATTATCTGAGTTTTAAGAAAAATAATTAGTAAAGCTATCTGGGACTGGAATTTCCTATCAGAGAAGGTTTTTAATTATTAATTTGATTGCTTGGATACAAGGGTTTTTTTAAGTTTTTCTATTTCTTTGTCAGTTTTGGTAATTTGTGTCTTTCAAGCACTTAGCCTATTTTGTCTGAGTTGTTGAAATTGCTCATAATATTCTGAGTATTCCATTAATGCTTATTAACATCTATAGTGATACTTTTCTTTCATATTATTGGTAATTTTCCCCTGATCTATGTAGCTCCAAGATTATCAACTTAATCTTTTCAAAGAACCATGTTTTGGTGGTTTCTCTTAATTTTGCCTATGCTTTTGGGCTTTATATTTCATTGATTTCACTCTTTGTAACACCTTCCTACTTGCTTGGGGTTAATTTGATCATGATTTTGTAGGAGACATAGACCAAAGACTTTACAGCTTTCCTCAGCACTACGTTAGTAATGTAGTAGCTGCAACCCACAAAATTAGACATGCTATGTTTTCATTATCATTCTGCCTAAAACACTTTATAGATGGTCTAGTTGATTTTGTTTCATCCAGGAGTTATTTGGAAATGTGTAGTAGTCTAATTTCCGTATTTCAAAACTACATATTCGCCATTTTCTACCATTTCTTCCCTTTGTATAGATCTGAGTTTTCATTCTACCATTTTCTTTCAGCCTGAAGGACACCTTTTAAGTTTTCTTATAGTATTGGTATACTGAGCATTTTTCCTGTCTTATTTGGAAATACTACTTTGCCTTTGTTTTTTAAAAGATCACTAGGTGGAGAATTTTTGGTTATTTTTCTTTTCAGCACTTAAAATACATCATTCCATTGTTTTCTGGCTTGCATACCTTCTGATGAGCAGTTCTTTTTGTTGCTGTTGTAAGATCTTTGATCCACTATGTGAAGTGTCTCCTCTCCCCCTTGCTACTTTTAAGATTTTTCTCTGTATCACTAAAACTTAAGTGATTTGATTACAACACACCTTAGTGATTTAACTACAAAATGAACTACAAATGAGTTAGTTTTTATCCTGTCTTTGATTTACTGAGCTTCTTAAATCTATGGTTTTATGGTTTTCAGCAAATTTGGAAAAATTATGGCTATTATTGTTCCCTTTTTCTTTCTCCCTTCTTTCTTACATTGAGAAGTCCAATTACATGTATGTTAGAATTTGATATTGTATCCATGTCACTGCTATTCAGTTCATATTTTTTGGTATTTCAGTTCATTTTTTTTTTTTTGGTATTTTACCATATGAGCTTCAGTTTGGGTAGTTTATGCTGCTGTGAATTAAAATTGATTGAATATTTCTTCTGAATGTCTAGTCTCTTGTTAAGCTGAAAGAACAGTTTTCATTTCAGAGTTTGTATTTTTCCCCTGAAATTAGTGGTTCTTTTCTATACATTCACTTTCTCTCATTATCTCACATTTTGCTTTTAAGTCCTTACATATGTTTACAATAGATATTTTAAAGTCTTTCCTAACTACTCTCATTATGTCTGTTATTTCTGTGGTTTTGTTGATGACTTTCTCCTCCTCCTTTGCATGTTTAGTAATTGGTTATATGTATGTGTTGTGTATAACACATTTATCATGGACACTATAAATATTGTTCAATTTCTGGATTTTATGGTCTTCATTTAGAGTGATTTTGTTTCAATGGATTCTTAAATTACTTGCTGTTCAAATTTATTCTTTTTGGCTTGCTTTTAAGATCTGTTAAGTTATAGAGCAGGCCCTGGCCAGTGTGGCTCAGTTGGTTGGAGCGTCATCCCATAACTTACATGTTGTGAGGTTCTCGGTCAGGGCACATACCTAGGTTGTAGCTTCAATCTCTGATCCAGGTGCATACAGGAGGCAACTGCTCGATGCTTCTCTCTTTTATCAATGTTTCTCTCTCCTTTCCTCTCTTCTCTAAAAGCAATAAAATAATGTCCTCAGGTGAGGATAAAAAAAAAATTAAGAGGCACAGAGTAGCCATTGACTAGGGCTAATTCAGTCTTACTCTTTGAAGTGTGACCATTATGGAGTCTAACAAATGCTCCAAATGTTCAACAGTCTCTCCACTCTGCTTATTCAGAACTCAAACATATCTGAACTATGAATGAGTGTTGGAAATTGTTCAGATTATAGCTTCCTAATAGTTCTCTGTCCCTGTGGAGTTTGATGTACACATGCATAGCTTAGTATTCAACAAAGTTCCCTCAAGGGGCTACATGAAGACTTCTGGAGCTTTTTCTTTGCTTAAGTGTATCCCTCAATTTCGGTATTCTCTACTAATTCCAGCTACCTCAGCCTCCCAAACTCTAATCTTTACCTCAGTTAAGATCACTATGCACTACTTAGCTTTCCTCTCCCTGCACCAGAGATCAGAGGTGCCTTCAAGCAGAAAACAAGGGGAGTCACGGGAGTCACGTCTACTGTTTCTCTTTTCTCAGGAATCACTGAAACTCTGCCCTTTGCTCCCTTATGCCCACTGTGTCCATTTTCTGAAAACAGTGACTGTCTCATATACAGGACGGGACAAACACCAGGTTTGCAGTTGTGAGTACATAAAAGTTTACTCTTGTCATTGTTTATTAATTATTCTATTATTTTTCCATACAAATATCTGTAAACCTATTTTCACCCTCCCTTGTATTTTGTCCAGTTTTTGAGTTACTCACAGCCAAAGAGCAAGTATAGTTCCAGTAACTCCACTCCATCATTGCTAGAACTCAAAGAACTTTTACGTGTGTTTGATCTCTCTCCCCACCTCTCTAATGGTTTCTATTTTTGTTCTAATACTTCATACCCCAAATTTCATTGCCTTAAAAAAAACACAACAGTTGCATATTGGGCTAACATTTTTAAAGAAAAAAAATATGAAAGTAGTTCAGAGAATCTTTTGTTGAATGTTCCTGTACAATTTCATGAAGTAGAGCTTTTTATCCACACTGTATCATCCATTTATCTCTCAATTGTTCTGTGAGAAGAAAAAGTTATATCATGCTTGAGCTACTCCTTCCTATAACAACCTTTATGCTAAATGTTGTAGAAATTGCTATGAATGATAGGAGGGGCCATGAGGGAAACCCCAAACATATGGTATTAATATAGGGATAGGACAGCAAGCAGACAGGAAAGAGGTAGTATAGGTTAGTTTTCCTTTCTATACTATACTATATATACTATATTAGGAAAACTTGATCATTTAAAATAGAGATCAAGTACCTACCCACGACTATATTTTAGTAGAAGCACTTAGAAAATGTTATAATGTAAAAAAACAAAAAAAACAGCAAAAGAAAATGTTATAAATGTTCTGGCTGTTCCTTGCTGTTTAAGCCTAATATAAATTAATTTAAGCAAGAATTAATTTACAAGCAGAGAAAAAACCTTAGGGTGGCTCCTTCTGACTACACTACTTCAGTGAGAGAAAGACAAATACCATATGATTTCAATTCTATGTGTACTCTAATGAACAAGCTGAACTAAAAAGCAAAATAGAGACAGACTCAGACAGAGAGCAGGATGACAGCTATTGGGTTGGGGAAGTTAGTGGGTGAAGGGACTGAGCGAAAAAGAAAAAAGACCAATGGACGTGGACAACAGTGTGGTGACTGCAGGCGGGAGAAGTACAAAGGAGTTACATGGTAATGGAAAAAATACAATAAAAATTTTTAAAGGTTTTATTTATTTTTTGAGAGAAGGGAAGCAGGGAGAAACACTGATATGAGAGAGAAGCATTAATCGGTTGCCTCTGCTACATGCCCCAACTGGGCCCATACCCTCAATCTAGGCATGTGCCCTGACCAGAAATTATACCAGCAACCTTTTGTTTTGGGGGACAACACCCAACCAACTGAGCCACACCAGTCAGGGCCACACTATTTCTAATTAATAAAAATTCTATAATACAGGGACTTAAAGGATCAGGCAAGCCAACTGCTTCTCTACAGATGACAAGAAAAAATATATTCCAAGTATCTGTCTTAAAAGTTCTAAGCCACACAATGAAAGACAGCCTAGGAGCAAAAATCAGATGAATATACTATTTTGGTGGTCTCAAGGTAGCAGTCATTAAACTAAGGGAGAGAGGAAAGTAACTAGCAAATTAACAAGTCTTTATGATTAACAACCATAACCAAATATGAACTTTTGCTGTATTACTTTCACATATAAATGACTGGGGGCCAATCAGAAAGTAAATGACCAAGCTCCATTAGTAAAAAACAAAAACAAAAAATACCACAAGCCTAACCTAACCTGTTCTACCTGGGGAACCAGGTATCAACAGGACATCAACAGGACACAGGATAAGAATACAGGCAGCCTTCAGTAACAGTATACTAACATCAATTTCAGATATAGACACAAATATATATATATATATATATATATATATATACACACACAAAAGGGCAAGATGGTTAGAAAACTTGTCTATTAGTTTATAGGTCACCACATCCTAAGGAACCACATCTTGGATCTGCCAAAGAGAAATTTACTCCACCTACTGGATATCACTTTGAGTTGTGACCCTTCAGGAACTGATGTGTTTTCTCTGTGAGGAGAGAAGGCATGGACATTTGGGTGGCCAACAGGGCAAACCCCGAACAGACTGCTTATTTTCCCTCAAATCGAATTGAGGCTTACAAATAAAGAAAATAAACAAATTTTATAAACAGATCAAAATGTGTTTGCTAAACAGTCTGAAGTCAGACACTTTAGCAATTCAACAAGCACTGGGTGTGTGTGTGTTTGCATGTGTGTGTCTTTCGTCCAGGAAAATGGACCGCCAGGCAGTTTCCAAACTACAGTGTCCTCCCTGACCCACAGGGGACATGTTCTCAATCTCCCAGCACATGCCTGAAACTGTAGTTAGTACTAAACCCTACATATACAATATTTTTCCTATACATGCATACCTATAATACAATTTAATTTATAAATCAGGCACACTGAGATTAACAATAATAAAATAGAATTATAACAATACACTGTAATAAAAGTTACATGTGATCTGTCTCTGTTCATGTCTTCCACCCACAAATTTAATGCCTTTTCCATCTTAACTAAGCACTTAACATGCACCTTGGCTATAAGTTTACAGTATGAGGTATCATGGCAAAACTAGCACAAATTTATTTTTTCTTCTTTACAACTTCATAGAAGCTTCATTCTTACTGTACATCTTAGCAACCTCAGCATATGATTTTTTTTCTTTCCTTAAGCCAAGAACTTTATCTTTTCATTCAGAGGACGCACTTTAGGACTTCTCCTTGGCATATCTGAATTGCCATCATCCCCACTCGTGCACTTTGGGGCCATTATCAAGTAAAATAAGGGTTACGGGAGCACAAACACTGAGATACTGCAATAGTCAAGCTAAGAACCAAGACGGCTACTAAGTGACTAACAGGCTGGTAGCACATTAAAGCATGGATAAGCTGGACAACAGGATGATTCATGTCCCAGGTGGGATGGAGTGGGTGGGACAGCATGAAATTTCATCATGCTACTCAGAATGGTGAATGACTTAAAACTTATAAATGCTTATTTCTGGAATTTTATCTTTAATATTTTCAAACTGAAGTTGACCATGGGTAACTGAAACCATGAAAAGTCAAATCACAGACAAGAAGGGAAAGGGCAAGCAGAGCTAAAATCCAGCAAGAGTTCTCCATTCCAAGCTCTGCAATTACAAATCTAAACCTGCTCAGAGGAGGAAGCACCTTGTATCTCACACAAACGGGCCAGTGATGGCTCTGCTGGCCACTACAATGGGCAATGGGAGGAAATGAGATAAAAGATCATTAGATTACACTTGTTACTCAAAAAGGTATCATCACTATCAACCCAGAATTGAGTACAAGTGTTTCTGCTATAACACAACATATGCATTCCTGAATAATAGCATGCTCTATGAAATAAAACCAGCTGAACTTACAGAGAAAACACAATTAGAGCCAGACCACTCAAAATCTATGGAATTTTCAAATCTGAGTCCTAACAAAACAACAATCCTTATAAAAATGTTAGTAGTTTAAGTTTCCACTGGCATATGTATCAGGAAGCCAGTCTATCCTTTAAAGCTCATATCCTGGAGCTCACGCTTCTTCCTTTGAAGTGATTCCTTGAAGATACTCACTTATAATAGAGAACACGTCACTAAAAATTTAAAATATCATCTAGAGGTAGCTTTCTTTTTCTTTTTAACAAAAGTGAGCTATCCTTATAGCTTCTTCAACTAAACTTACAACTTCCTCAGATCTTTTAACATAGTGGAATAAATATCAATTTTCAAGCCAATAAACCAGTACTTTATTGCAATATAGAAAGGTACTTTTACAGAATTTTCAGCATTTTTCTTAAAACTAAGGCTCTCTCTTTAGTTGTGAAAGAGCTCTCCTCTTGATCATTCCAAAACATTAATATGTTTAAAGTGGTTTGGAAAAAACTCCAAACCAAATTCCACATTATTGACATCATTCCCTTATATGCCAAATGTTAAAAAAAGGTTTTCAGAGAGAAGGAAAATTATATAGGTCAAAAATAGGGATCTATATAAAGAGAAAAAGAATGCTAGAGAATAAGTTGAAGGTAAAAGAACAGCTTTTTTTTGCTTATCTTTAATGGATCTAATTGATAATGGATATATTGGTTTGTTCAAAATAACAGTAACCAGTAACCAATAATGCATATGTGTGTATGCTTATTTATAAGTGAAAGTGACACAAAGGACAGGGGAGAAGAATTCTGATTTTGTTATTATAAGGCACTTGCACTACCCAGGAAGAGGTATGTTATTTGAAAGAAAACTTGGATTAGCAGTATATGTACATTGCAAACTCTAGAGTGACCGCTACAAAAAAAAGTAAAAAAAAAAATAGTATAATTGATATACTAAAAAAGGAAAGAAAGTAAATCATATAAAATGTTCAATTATAACTACAAAACCCAGAAAAAGTATAGAAGACAAAAATTTCCTTATCAAGACTGCCTATTTACATACCAAAGTAAAAACTTGAAGAATATCTGAACATAGAGGAACTAGTTTGGGGAAACATCTCCAACATCCAAGACGGTTATTTGATTTGGAAGATACTGGCAAGTTTCCTTGAATAAGTCAATGAAACATGTCCTTCTGTGTCAAAAATTTGTGAGTTTTCCTACATGTGTCCTGAAAGTAACTGATTTCATTTCCCAAAAGAAAGAAAGACATGCTAGAACTCTAAGGTCTTACACCAGAATTGCATCAGTGTCTGGCAGTGACTAATCCGTATGCCCTCACACTTGCTCCTTCAGCACACACAGACCTGACTTCCAACTCCCTGCAGTGAATTTCTTTGACTAAGGTTTTCTGTTGTTTTTGCTTGAGCCTGCTTTGTCACCCAAGTGGCAGAACAAAAGTACAAGATTTACCACAACCAGAAACAGGGGATTTGATGCACAAATACTCCAGCTTCCTCACCTCAAATGGGTTAATTCAGGCATGTATTTTACACAGGTTCCCCAAGTTTCCTGTGGAACATTAAACTCCAGTGTTTCACAATAGCAAACCGCTTGAAAACAGATTACTGGCTGCTGAATCTGTGCCTTATTATGTGTAGGAACTTTGCTTCAATAGTGCATCTGATTATCTACAGAATTCTTTAAGTTAGACCAAAGAATAAGAATCTGATTCACAGGGTTAAGAATAACTGCAACTCCTGGTCAGCGTCACAGAGCAAGCCATGATTGTATATCCAGAACCTCTGCTCCTTCACCAAAGGAACAGAACACTGTGGAAGCTGGGGGGAGAGTGTCCATTAATATTAAAATGCTGTTCTTTTTATTTCCAAAGAAAAATTTTTTTAATTTTAAAGAAATAAAAAAAAATGTCTAATGCATACTAGACTCCCAACCAATAGTTATTTTTAAAGTGTATCGCTTATGTCATTATGAATTAAACTACTGCTATGAATTAAACTAAATTTTTGGAGGGAAAGGAAAAGGGGAAAATCAAATATATACTTATCTTATATATTTAAAATAACAATGGTAATGGTTATGGCGAATGTGTTTGTTTTCCAACTTCCTAAAACAATTACATTCTTTCACAGCTAGGAAAACTCTAAGTCTTCCTAGTTAGAGTAAAGGAATTTGTTTTTCTTACCAGGGCTATAAACTTTTTTAAAAAAGAGAGAAGACAGAAAGATAAAAAGAAAAGGCATTTATGATAATATAATCTGAGATTATGAAGATAAATAAAATACATTTTACTTATCGATTTTAAAAGTTGCAAATGTTAAATACTGTAACAAAATAATTACTTTTAAATGTCTATATTTTTTCATAGTTCATTCATTCATTCATTGACCACACATTCATGCTGGCTCTAAGATAAACAAAATTCGTCTTGTGCCATTTTGGGTATTAGAGGCAAAGGAAGAAAGGAAAGGAAAATCAGTAAACAGAATGGAAGATAAAGAGGGAGGGTGAAATTTCATGGATTGCTGACCTCAATTTTCTTACCTTTATAACTACATATACAGACACGGAAAAAGGCATTCATTTGCACAACTAATGCCAGACAAGCAGTAAAAGGTAGACAATGCTAGGCAGGGTATGAAATAAAGGAAAAAGTAGTACTCACCCTTAAAGTTGCTTAAAATTAAGTTGAAGTCAACCTTAGTATTTGCCACTGTAGACCTTATAAATTAAAAAGTCTATTTATATTTAACAGAGATAATAAAAATTTAATTGGGTTAGTACCCACTTAAAAATTTAGATCCACAAAATGTATCTTTTTTTACCTATTTTAGGTTTAAGGTTTAATTCTGAACTTTATTCATTAAAAACAATCATCCACATTTGAAAAGTGAGTTTCCGGAAATATAAAGAAGAAAATTATTTTTAAAATTATCAGGATAAACATTTTCAATTTTAAAATAAACTTAACAACTTGAAACATAACCAATTTTAATTAAAAAACAACTATTTTTATAGTAATATCAAAAGTCACAAAAAATTAAAGTTATTCTCAAAATTCAGTCAATATCAAAATTAATAAAATGTTAAGAAACAATTGTTCCCACAAGAAATCTATCAGCATTAGTAAAATCAAAACAAAATTTAATATTAAATTTTTGAAGTGGTATAAAAAATGTAAGATATTGTTCAAATAGCAAAAAACAAGTAAACAAGCCTAAACAATTATCACATTGTTTAATTCATTGATTAGATAATTAAAGATTTCGAAAAGGTATTACATAAATTTCAAATTATAGATCTGAATTGATCACATGAATGTACCTTAAAACGGCTTGTATTTGACTCCTAGAACTATAAACATGAGCTTTACTAACCAAGGCATCATATTAAAAGGTCAGTAATACAAAAAGCTAGATGTAAATCTTAAAGAATATTAAATGTTTTAGATTAACTATTTTCCTAAAATGTATGTGCAGTATCTTTGAAGCCCCTCTAGTTGACTACAGGAAAAAGAAATAGAATGAGAAATGAATTTTCCAAGCCTGAATCTAATTTCTTTCCAGGCTACTGTATTTCAATTTTCCTAACAGAACTGGTAAAGTTAAAAAGAAATGACTGCATTTCTGCACTCATTTGGTTTGTTTAAATTTTTTTCAACAGCTTGATTTTCTTCATTTGTGTATGTTTTATACAAATGTCTGAATATAGCATTCTCTCAATAAACTCAAGGAGTAAGTACAAATATTAAAACAAAATGTACTGAACTTATCAATAGTTATTTGCTTGGTATACAAGAACAATTGTAAAAGTATAAAATGTGGTTTTCACCCTTACTAGGTATTGGGTTATTAAGACTAATAGATATATTAGAAAATCATATAGGATAAAATATGATTTAATGGTAAATTGTATGGCAGATTAAGTATTGTAGGAGATCAATGAAAGAGAACACTAATAAAGGTCAAAATAGTCTAGAAAGATATGATTCTCTTATTTCTGTTTCTACCTTAAAAGAGACAAATCTATTCGTTAGCTCTTCTTAACAACAAAGTAATGAACAATGTACTCCATATACCTACTAAATTTTATTAATTAGAAGTATGAAGCTAATAAATTTCTGTACTTTTAGAACACATGTACTTAATAATTCTTGTGGCTATAATTATCCATGATGCAATGGTGAAAAAGTTGCATGATCCAATAGAAAGTGTGGCCTTAAAGTAATGGGGAAGATTTGTACATTCACCACTGAACTTTCTGACAGTGGGCAAGTTACTAAATCATGCTGAACCTGCTTCTTCTTAAGTGAAATACGGTAACAACAGCTACCTCCCATGGCTGTTGAAAGAGTCAAATAATATATCATGTGGAAAATAAATAGCACAATGTCAGTCAGAAAAACATGTTCAATAATTATTAGCTCCCACATTCAAACAAATTTCAAATATAGTGATAACAGAACACCAAAGACTTTGCTTTACATTTTATTCTTACTATGAAAATTAAGTCCTTTTTATTAATAAAAAATAATGTGTTCAGCTTCTAATTTTATAATGATTCTCTTTCATCTTTGAGAATTTGATGAAAAGGTTGAACTTCCTCCTCCCAAAATACCACATATATGCAGAGTATTTTGTATCAATTTAGGGACATTAACAGATTCTCTGAAAGCTAGATTAAAAACTATGTTCTATCTAGCTATTTAAATAAAATTAATTCAAATTAAATAAAATTAAAACTTTAGTGCCTCAGTTGTACAGGTGACATTTCAAGTGCTCAACAGCCAGCCACACAAGGCCAGTGCCTATAGGAAAACAGATACGGGACATCCTGTCATCTCTAAAACTCTTATCAGATAGAGCTGTTCTCAAATGTTAACATAAGCAAAACTATATTGCTGTTTTTTTTAAATATCTATAAACCTCTCTTTGAAGTAGATTCCCAAGAGGGGAGAGGCTCTGAATATTTATAGAGTCTTTAAGGTGCAGCCCATAACAAGCATTCAACAGGTATCTAGTAGCTGACATTATAGTTTTATTTTGGCTACATTAATCTAGCAAAAATTGACTAAGTTGGTGAAGACCAGAACTGAAAGCTGTGAATATATGAATAGCTAAAAATAAAAGTAGCAAGTCAACTTATATGTACTCTTAATTGACAAACTTCTGAAGTCATTGGGGGCTCCCCACGTGCAAACTTTCTATTTTTTGAGTTTTAGCTTATACATATTGGCTAGATCACTTAAGCAAAATTTTAGGCCTTGTCCATTGCCTATTCTATTGAAGAATAGGAAAAATGCTTACTTAGAGCCAGTTAGCTTTTATTATTCCTGTGTTGGTTTTTCCTAGAAAGAGCAGTTGAGTAACTTATTTTTAAATAGTATGTATATATTTACATATAGTAGTTTAAAAGATGAAAAAAATTCACCAGTTCTGTAACTTAAAGATTACAGCATTATGATTTTAGAAAATCTATTTCCTTTTAATATTTCTTGAAATCAAGACAAAATGGCTGCCATACACAGAACAGTAAGAGATGTAGTAATAATTGTGCACTTACACTGCCACATTTTTTCTAATGGTATACTCTTCCAAATCGTCATCAGAGCTGCTATCCGTTGCATCAGAATCCAGACCCTCTTCAACATGAGATAGCAGCCCTGTAGCAGACAGTGCAAATCTTTGGATTTCTGCAGCTGTACACTGTGCAAAGCCATTTTTTGTTTCATTCCACAATTTATTCTCTGCAGTCAGTAAGTTGATGTCTGGCTTAATTTCAGTGCATTTAGGTAAACCGTTATTCAAAACTGTAGTAGGTTCATGAAAGATCTTCATTTTGGGGAGCTGATGTTTCACAGAAAATTTCATTTGCTGACCATAGTGCTTAACAACATGCTTTGCCAGGAGCATCTGCAAATGTTTCTGAGTTCTTCTAGCCTGGTTAAGTAAAATCTTCTGTTTGCTTACACAGTTTAGTAAACGAGCATTCACTTCCTCCTCTTTTTCAGCAGCTGAGGAACTAATAGGCACATTTGAATGGCCAGGACCAATTTTCTTTTGAGCAGAGTCCAACAAACCCCTTTTAATCTCGGTATCAGTAACTTTATCCAAAAGTGCATTCTTCTGGTATGATTTACAGTTTTGTAGTTGGACTTTATCTACATTAATGTCTTTGGTTATATTTGAATCTGAAATAAGTTTTACATCCGTCATGCACTGGCTTGTGTTATCTGACAGAGGTTCCTTTTTGATGAACTCTTCAGAACGAGAATGACAGATTTTACTGAGCTGAATGTGGCTGCCATTACACAGTATGTTTTTCAGCTTACTACAGTTGGGTTCTCCTAATTTCTTTTGTTTATAATTCTTATTGTATTTATTTAATGTAGAATTAGAACCCATTAAAAGAACTGTCTGATAATGTTTTGAAGATTGAGGGGAGCCAAAATGTTTTAAATTCACAAAATTAGTGTTAACAGTAGGTTCTGGGGTTGGAAATCCCAGCATCTGAGAAAAAGTGTCTCCCTCTAGCTTTTCATCTACAGTTCTTGGACCTTCCATGCGTAGCATCTTGTCAGACTCCATGGTACTTGGTAAAGATGAAAAGCAGATACCCTTTGTTGTTGCCTCCCTCAGAGCTGGGGTCATGGCGAGTCCTGCAGATAGTAACTGGAAACCTAAAATAATGTAAAAATACATAATTAAATATCTAGGAAAGAGTTATGCTTGTATGTGTTTCAAGGGCAACATTTTTTAATGTTTGATTAAAACATGAACAAATTCCAGCTCCTTAATTTCCCAACTCTTAATACTATCTCTGCTCTTTTCTAGCTCATAAGGAATTCAGTAGCTATTCTTCACTCTAACTGTGGGCCTATACCCAAAAGTCTAATGAAAGTTTCACAGTACCTAGCACAGTAAGCATTAGACAAATATTTGTGGATATAACATAGCTGATGCTTAACACAGGGGTTAGGGGCACCAACCACCCACACAGTTGAAAATCTGCATGTAAATACTTACTCCCTCAAAAGTAATAACATATATAGCTGATTCACACATATTCTGTATATATATTCTTATAATAAAGTATAAACTAGATACAATAAAATGTTATTAAGAAAATAAGGAAAGATAGATTTACAGTTTTAATAAAAAAATAAAACAATCATGTATAAGTGGACTTAAACAGTTCAAATAAGTGTTGTTCAAGGCTCAATTGTTCATCTCAAGATTCCATTTTTAAACATCTAGAGAGAATCAAAAAATCCAACCTTGAATCTGGGAATCATACTTCAAAATGTAACTCAATCCCATACTTTCAGCCAAAAGAATGATCTTTATAAAATATAATAAGTTGCTCAAAACCTTCATTGCTCAATTTAAATTTTACAATCTGAATAGTATTAACAACAATAACTAAAATATACTAACATGTAAGATGTAAGAAAACTGATCTACAAATAAAAAAGTCTATAATTTTACAACTGTTAAAAATAACGTGATAGTGAAAACTCGCCTAATCTACAATGTGCAAGTCTTTCCTAAAAAAGCATCTGCAATAATGTTTTTCTTTTTCACAAATGGATAGTCCTCAGTTATCATCATAGAAGCTGTTAATCCTGCCTGAAAAATAGTGAGGACTGTTACAGAGGAACACTGATTAATCCCCAAATTAAATAAATTAATTGTGTTTTATCAAAAGAAAAAAAGGAACCATATGTTCTGAAATACAGAAAATGTTAATTCAGTATAATTAAAAGTTATGAAGACTGGATAGTGAAAAAATTATCATCAACAATTATAAATTTTGGAATATATTTTGGAACTATAATACTCCATAACTATAGGAGTACCATAATTTTGTTTAAACACATATAACAGTTAATAGTCACTTAAATAACCACACTATCATTTTGTATGTCCCCATACAATGTGCTAGCTGTAACTCTACACCTTTAATTCCTATGTAAAAACATAAAACTGAAAGCTAGTTCTTTGTAAAGATTAGTCAGAATGGTCAAAAGGAAAAAGAAGCACAAAAAATGTCTATGCAATTAAAAAAACACATATACAGTTAAAAGCAAGTTATGTACTAGAAAAAGATATCTACAACATATATTAAAAACAAAGAATTAGTATCCAGAATACAAAAAGAACTCCTACAAATGGGCAAAGAATAGAGCAGTCAGGCATTTCACAGATGATGACATTGAAATAATCATTAAACATATACTCATCTCACCAGTAATGAAGGAAATGTAGATTAATACAGCAAGAGACCAGTTTCCCAACCACCAAGTTGAAAATACTATTTTAAGTCTTAACATATCACAGATGCACAAAAGGGCAGTGTTTTTAATAGTAAAACATTCTCTCAAGGCAATCTAGACATCTAACAATAAGAGAATGAATAATAAAACATGATGGAATACTATATAGCAATTAAAAAGAATGACCTAGATCTACATGCACAATATGGACAAGCCTCAAAAACAGTATAAAGTTTAAAAAAATGGTGCAGAATATATATATATAGGATACCATACAAATAAAATACAAACACAAAGCCATGCCTACCATATAGGTAAATATGTGTCTGTCCATTTGTTTAAAAAACAAACCAGAAAAAAATAATCACCAAACTTGTAACAGCAGCTGCATCAACTAAGTTCCATGAAACAGAACTAACAGAGGTGGTTTAACAGAAGTTAAATTTTAACTACAGGATTTTATTATTTGGGGGTGGAGAGAAGACTAAATACGCAATGAACCAATGTTAATGATTGTTAATTCCATGTGATTAAAAAAAATAGATGTTTGCCTTTTCTATACTTTACCATATAATGTCTAAAAAAAGTAGAGATTTATGTATAATTCTTTTCCAAAGTTCTTACACCTCAAAATGTGTACACTTTTATATAACGCCTAAAAAGTAATAAATCATATAGTAACAGATTCTCATTTCTCCTAAATTCAAAAAAGGAAAAGAAAAATTACCAGATTACTGAGCTATTATTATATATTTTACATTCTACTTTCATGAGATATATAAAAATAATTACAGAACAAGCTATTGGCATTAGTAATTTTTTTTTCAAGAATCTATTGGTCACTTAGCAACTCAATGACTGTGTATCTTAATCTACAAACATCTATGTCAGCATTTAGATAACTATATTGCTCTCTAATGGAAACTGCCTTAATCACTGTACTTGCGGATTCATACTGAAAAGATACTATACTCTTATCTCCTCCCCACCTATCTACTCCATCTCAAAATTTGTACCAAGTGCTAAGGATATGACAAAAGAGGCTAGCAGAGGGAGCAGAGATGAAATATCATTAAGTAGTACAGTTGACGTTAGGCCCTGGATAAACTAAAGATAAGGAAAAAATAAAAATAAGAGGTAGATAAAATATATACAGGTTAATGGTTAAGAACTAGGGTTGGTAGCAAAAAGAGAAGGTAAAGAAATGAATGTAGCCTTGGCTGGTGTAGCTCAGTGGATTGAGCGCAGGCCTGCGAACCAAATGATCGTGGTTCAATTCCCAGGCAGGGCACATGCCTGGGTTGCAGGCCAGTTCCCAGCAAGGGACACAAGAGAGGCAACCATACACTGATATTTCTCTCCTTCTCTCCTTCCCTTCACCTCTAAAGATAAATAAATAAAATCTTTAAAAAAAGAAAGAAATGAATGTAGATTGAGAGTCAGTTGCTAAGGCATTTTATGATAGAGAACTAGAATAAGACACATACACACACAAAAAAACTCAAGATATCCAGGGCTTACTTGGTATGACAGAAGTTTTAAAAGTGATTTTAATAATCCCCATCTCCTTGTATTCATACCTTAATGTAACCTTTCCTATGAACCCAGCATATGGACTAGATTTAAGGACTTGCTTTTAGCAGAGAGAAAGCAGCAGAGGTGATGGGACATCACTACTGAGATTAGGTTACAAAGAGACTGTGGCTTCCATCTTGCCACCCTGTTACTCAGAGATGCCAAGTGCCATGCTGTGAGCTGGAAAGACCTGCATAGCAAAGACCATTGTCTCCAGCCAATAGATAACCGAAGGTCTGTCAATAGGTGGGTGAGCAATCTGAGAAATCAATCCTTCCCCAGTCAAGCTTTCAGATGACTGCACCTTAACTTCACGCTTGTGAGAAACCTTGAGCCAGAAGCACCCAGCCAAGCCATGCCTACAGCTCTGACCTGCAGAAAAATACTATAAGCCATTAATTTTGGGGTGATTTGTTAAATAGCAATAGATAACAAACAAAATTAATATGAAGACTATTGGATTCTAGTCTCTGGAAGGCCAACCCATATTGCAGTTCCTATTGTAGGATTTATGTGAAGTTCCTCTATACTCTATTATCAAGCGTATCCTTATGAGAAATTCTAGCCTGAAAATCTCTCTAATTTGCAGCCAAAAGAAATGAATGAAAACAGTTGTCCTTGTAAATTTTTTTAAAAAGTCAATTATGTTCAGTTTTAATATAAAATATTAAGTGCATTTATTCCAATTATTTAAATATGTAATCACTGCATATAAAAATGTTTCCTAACTGAATATTCTAAATTCTACCACTTCTGACAACCTCCATAAACCGCTACACTTATCATTAATACTTCTAAGGCTTGGATTTTACTATTTTGTTAACCACTATATCGCCAACATGAAAAACTATATGACACATAGCAGATGCTCAATAAATATCTGCTGAATAAATAAGTGGTTGCCATATACTTAGAAAAAAATCCACTCATCCTTACCATGCCTACAAAGTTCTACATTATCAGATCCTTGACTACTTTGCCTTACGCAGCTCTCTCCACGTGTTACTACAGTTCAGAAACAATGACCTCTGTGCTATTCTTGAAACATATCAAGCAAGTTCTTGCTTCACAGATTTTGTGCTTGCTATTTTCTCAACCTAGAAAATTTTTTCCACAAAGAAGGCTGGCACCCTCACTTCATTTATGTTTCTGCTCTACAGTAACCTCATCAGAGTTCTTCCTTGACCAATATATTTAAAATAGCTTTAGCCCCTCACTTCATGACTCTCCATTCCCTTACACTGCATTACAGTTCCTCGTGGCACTAGCTAACATTTTATTACATTCTAGGGAGGAATATAGCTTAAGGATAGACCTCTACTTTGTTCAATGTTCTAATCACCAGCACTTAAAACAATGCCTGATACACAATAATTGTCAGATATTTATTGACAAAATTAAAGAAACACACAAATCATGACTTTTAAAAGTGGCCAGGATTTAATAATTAGTAGTAAGCAATAACACATTTCAATTACTATTTTTAAAACAAATGTTACAAACGCAGCAATATATAAAATAGGTATGTCACAAGCAAGTGTGGCTTATTCCATAAATGCTAAAACCAGCCCATTACAAAGCTGCTACTGAAATTCACCACATCAAAAAACTACAAAAGAAAAAAATATGATCCAAATAGATTAAGTATTTTATGAAATCCAAAATCTATTCATGATTGGGGAAAAAAAACTTAGCAAATTAGGGAACAGAGGGATACTGCTAACCTGACAGAGTATCTACACAAAAGCCTAAAATCACTACCTAATTAATGATGAAAGACTGAACACTTCTGGCCCAAGACTGGGAAGCAAGGTGTCTTTTTTTTTTAA